GGGCTGTGGGCATTTGTTTGTGGAAAACACCCTCGGCTGCTCTCCAAGCACAGCTGCCTTCCTCAAGTGCCTCTGCTGGGCTTCGCCCACCCACCCGTGTCCTGAGTCCGGTCAGTTTCAGGGCAGAGTCCAGTGGGGTGAGTGGGCTTGGCAGGGACCCCCTTCCAGATGGAGCCTGCAGCTGTGTCCCTGGAATGACTCTGCACCTGAGGCTGGTGTGTGTGTGTGTGTGTGTGTGTGTTTTGTGGGAACACGACACGCGGGTGAGTTTTGAGCTTGTCTCCTGGTGATCAGGATGAGCTTTCGGTGGTTTCTAATTTGGATGGAGCTGCAAGATCAGATCTTTGGGAACAGAGATCCTCGAAGAGCTCTCTACCAGGAACAGCAGCTGACGGGCTCTCCATTGTCAGGGGCTCTTGATATGCTTTGGCTTTACTGGACGCATTCATGTGGTTTGTGGGGTGTTTGTTGACGTCTGTAGCCCCTGAGAAATGTCAGCTAGAGGCTGCCTGTGCTCCACGGGACTTTAGGGGGGGAAAAAATCTATATCCCTGGAAATCCTCTGTTGGCAGCGCATCCAACGGCCCCTAATTTTTCAGCTAGACAGCAGCGCATCTTCATTTATTTTGTGTTCTGGAACTTTTTTTAAAAAAAAGAATTGTTTAAGTTAAACTCTCAAAGTGAAAAGCAAAACAAACAAAAAAAAGCAGCACACTCAGCAATTGTCCAGAAAAAACATCTGGCTCTCTTCCCCTGTGCAGCTGTTTTTATTCTCAAGAATCAGCGCTGGCTCCCAGTGCATATTTCTTCAGCCTTTAGCTCATGCGAGAGGCCGTGCCTGGCGAATCCTGGTGCCGGTGAAATGCCGGCTCAGAGAAGCTGCCTTCTACACCTGCCTTTGACCTCCTGTGCCTCGTGCAGGGAATGGCCGCTAGGTCGTGTTCCTTGAGTGGGGCTTGCCTCCCATCTGTCATTTGTAAGGGGGCTTTGGATCAGCATCAGCTGCCGCCAGGGAGCCACAGTTAGAAAGGGACCAAAGAAAGGTTGCCCCTCAATGCTTCCTCTGCAGCTTTTCTTCCCGACCTTTGGCAGTGGCTTCCCCAACAAGCACAGTCCTCCTCCTCCTCCTCCTCCTCCTCCTCCCTGCTTCAGAGGGAATCACTTGCTCGGGATGAGGCTAGCTCCCCCTCCCCCCGAGGGTCGGGGGTGGCAGGGGTGGCCCTTGTCTGTCATCCACTTGTTGCCAGTAACCAAATTCTCTCCTGCTTCCAGGACGAGGGGGCAGCCGTCTTCCATCCCCCAGAAGACGCCCTGGTGGAAGATTGCCCAGGTCGCAGCTCCAGTGGTGAGGCCCAGCTTCTGATGGCTCTTCCTCCTCCTTTTCCTGGCTCCTTGTGTGGAGGAGTCCCTTACCCTCTGGGGTCCCTGTTTTTAGATACCAGCCAATAGGTAGTTTTTGAAATGTGAGGTTGGCCACAAAGACTGTGGACCACAGAGGTTGTGGTAGAGAGGTAGATATTTCAGGGCTGCGGATCTCCTTCTTTAATTGAGCCCCCCTGAAACCAGGCCGAGGGTTTTAGTCCCCTGCAAGGTAGGCCCAGAGGCTTCCTGCAGTCCCCCTCCCGCCCCCCCTTACTTGGACTTCACAAGTTTGGATCCGTGTGCTTTCGTGTGTCCCTTTAGAAAGCTTTTCTCATTCTTTTTGGCTCTGGGAAAAGAGGGGAGGGGAGAGTCCAGAGCAACACCCAGGACCCCTTTTTTCTGGCCTTCTCACTCCAGGGGGAGGGGGAGGGGCCGCCAGGTTCCCCCCATCTACGTTTTGTATAAAACAAGCTTTAGCAGGGAGATCTTTGGGATGGGGAGACAGGGAGAAACAACATTCTCTTGCGTAATAGCTAGATTGTCCTCCTAAAAGAAATTCATCCTATAGGATGTGTGATGGGTAGGATAGAGATGTTCGCTCAGGGTGGGGCCGGGGGGGGGGAGGCAGTACAGGAAAAATTGCTTGGAGAAGCCAAGTTCGGTAGAAAAAAAAACGTTTTTAAGTTTGGGAAGCCCTTGGCGAGAGAGCCTGCTGTGAATGTTTCCAAAACTTCCCAGAAAATTCTCGCCCAGCCACGGTCTGAGAAGACGGGAGGCTTCCACCAGATGTAAGAACTCCAAGGAAACTTTGGCTGCCTTCTTGGATTCTCTCCTGTGCTCCAGCCCATCCCCCATCTGATTGGTCCGGGGTGGCCTCTGCCTGTCACCCTCCCTCTGCCTGTCCTTCCTGCAACAGGCAGCCCCTCTTCAGCTGTTTCCAAGACAAACACTGAATTTGCAGAAGGAGGGGAGGTGGAGGCTACTTCCTCAAATTAAAGGCCTGGAGCCCCAGGCTGTCAACCTGCCAAGCTGAAGGCCCAGCTCCCTCTTCTCCTTTGCAGGCAGAGGCTCCAGCAGGCCAGAGTTGCTTTCCCCCTGGAGTCACATTGCTTAGATCTCCGCATGCCCCCCCCACCATGCCAAGCCATCAAGTCCCCCGCCACCCTGTGCCCACTCTCACTCAGGGATTCCCTTCACACTGTCCTTTAAACCCCCTTTCTTTGCTGCCTAATTTTTGAGAAGCAGAGACAGCCACACCTGCAGCAGGGTGAGGTGCTACCTCCCCTCCCTCTCCATTTTGTCTCTGGGGGAGGGGGACGTCCTGGCTCAGGCTGAGCTGCCTGCAAAGGATCGCTTGCCCAGCATCTCCCCAGGCCTCAAAGGCTGGAAGCCTCCGCTGTCCCATCCCAAACTCTGGCACCTTCCCAGCCCCGTCCCTGGAGAGTCAGACTGCTGGCCCCCTCTCCCTCCTGGGGGACTGCAGGATGGGAGGGCGGGCTCTCCTCCTCCTGTCCAGAGGGCTGTTTTCATGAGGACTGGTAGTTTCACTCTGTCAAACTGGCATCGTCACGTGACGTATTGCATCTCTCCCCCCTTTGCTAAACCAGGCGTGGGAGTGGCCAGTGCGTAAAGCATCTGGCCCGTGGGCCATGAGTTTGGCAGCCCTGCTCTAAGGTGTCCCGGGGGCCTGCATCTCCTGCTCCACCACAGGGGGAAAAGGGGAGGCCGAGGGGAGGGAGGGGCAGTTGTGAGTCTCTGCGCAGTAGCATTTCCTGGAAGGGAGGAAGGTCAGAGGGCCCAGCCCGGCCAGGAAGCAGTTGATCTGGCCTCTTGTTGGCTCCGAGTTCCCAGGGGGTCTTCCTGGGTGGAGCGGCTGCCCAGGGGAGACCACTGTAACAACCCCCCCACTCTCCACGCGACAACATTCTGGATGGACAAGGGCTTCACCCTTCGGTCTTCACTTCCACAATCATGTTAGCCATTTAGATGAGCGCTGGAAAGGCAGAGATGGTTTTCGGGTTTTGTTCAGGAGGCATCAAGGGTCAGGGTAGGAGCTCCACCCAAGAAGTGTGTGTGTGTGTGTTTATGTATGTGTGGAGGAGGCCCTGGGCCATGCGGGGGGAAGGAACCACTTTCTAGCTCCTCTCGTTCCCTGAGTTTTCTCCCTCTCCCTCCAGAGGAAGACCCCTTGCTCCAGAAACTTCACACTCTCTGGGCATGTAAGGACATGGAAAAGGTGAGTACATGAAGTGGCCAGGTTTGCAGCAGTGCCCACCCCCCATAGGGATATCCACCCACCCCCCTCTTTCTGAAGGGGAAGCTGTGTGCCCCCCCCCTATTGTTCAGGCCCCCTGCTTGGTGAACAGCTCAGGTCTTCTGCTCCCACCACCAGAGGATTCAGCAGGTCAGTTTGCGCTGGTTCCCCTCCCCCCTCGCTGGGGGGCTGGCCCTCTCAGAAGCCGGCTGTCCCCCGTGGGATTTGCAGCCTGTGGGCTGGCAGAGCAGCGTCCCTAGAGAGCCTTCTGGGTTTCCCTAGCTCCGGAAAGAAATGCGCCTGGGGTTTGCCAGCCTGCGTGACCCCTGGGCCTGGCTCCTGGATGTGCTGGATTGCTGTGCGGACCAGAGAGCGCCAGGTTTGCTGACCCACATTGTCCGTGAGCTGCAGGGCTGGATAAAGAACCGTGCCAGTGATCAGCCGGTAAGGGGGACTGCCGGGCTCGGCTCGCGCAGAGGCCTCAGAGCCTTGGGTGCCCTGGAGAGGCGAAGAGGCCTTGCCCAGTCGCCCCTCGAACGGGTGGCAGTGGAGCTGCTTCTCCTCCCGAGGAGTATCCGGGCTACTGGTGGGGCTTCTGCGGGATCCCCTTGTGGCCAGATGAGATCGATTGCCACTTCCCTCGGAGTTTGGCACTTCCTGCAGACTCGGAGTGGGAAGAGGGGTCCCCCGTTCCTCCAATTTCGGCCTGGATTGATTTGAGTCTTTAGATTCACAGCCTCCCCTCTCCCTCCCTCCCTCTGTCTCTCCCTCTGGGGTCCTCAGTGCGGCTTAAAGCTGGAGAAGCTGCAGGCCCGTCTCTTCCCCTTGCTCAACGGGTGCCACGTCAGCCTCCTGCAGCCCCTGATCAGCATCTATCAGCTCCACACGGCCGACCGCCACCATTTGCTGGGCTTCGTCCTCCAGCTCTGCCAGCAGGGGAAGTTCAAAGAGGTGAGGTGCCCTCGCTTGGCCACTGAGGGGCAGCGTTGCTCTCCCTCTGGGCCCGTGAGGGAGGGGCCTGGGAGCAGGTGGCGGCAGGAGGGCTTTCCGGGTAACGGTGGACAGCCCCCTCCTGCCGGGCTCCCTCGGGAGGCCATGTGGGACTCCTGTGGGCCTTCCTGGAGTCCGCCTCCCTCTGAGTCTCCCCCCCCCCCCGGTCCCCCAGCCAGCCCTTCTGAGGGCCTCTGTGCCTGCCTGAACTGCCCTTCCTGGCACGCCCCACACCCACCCCGTGGGCAAGGGAGGGCCTCCTTGGGAACGGAAGCCATTCTCCCACCCCCCCAGCCATCATTCGGTGCCCCCGTGGTGTCGCAAAGGACACGGAAGAGGCCCCTTTGACTGGTGGGGGTCCCACGGCTTAACGTGCCACGATATTTTGTGTTGGAGGGATGGCGGCTGCCTTGGGGTGGCCTGAATGCCCTCCCCCCTTGTCCTTTCAGCTGTTTTATTGATGTTTCTTAAGCAAGGTGGAAAAAGAAGATATCCGTGCCTCTAAAAGGGGGCTGTGGGGGGGGGTGTTCCAGCTTGTGGCTAAAGTGGGGAAGAAGGCGTCTTTCTGTGGGGCTGCCTGAAGCGGAGCAGTTTTTCCTCCAAGGGCTGCTCTGCCTCCGTTCAGCTGGAGGCCTCCCCCTTGGCTGCAGGGACGGCCCAGGGCACATCCCGGCCTGGGAAAGGTCTCTTCCGGTTGGAAGGCCTTTCGGATTACGAGGGGCAAAGGCTTCCCCCCAGTCAGGCTTCTTTTCCCTGCAGCCCATGGGAGAGGAGGGCAAGTGCCTGGCAGTTGTGTGAGTGTGTGTGTGCGTGTTCATTTGTGAAAGGTGGGGGGGATTGTTGAATTCAGAATAGCTCCATCCCCAGGGAGGAGGAAGGAAGGCACCGCCAGCCAGAGGCTCCCTTTTGAGAGAGAATTCACCCTCGGATAGCTGGGCTCAGAAAGGAGGGAAGGACGGTGGCCCTGGGGGCTTCCCAGGTGGGCCCCTCCCCAGTCACAGAGGAAAGCGGCTAGTCAGGCATGTGCAACATCCCCTCACTCCTTACCGGCCGGGCTCTGGGCTGCCCTCACTGGTTCCCATTGGATTCCAGAGAGCAGCCGTTCCCAAGAGCCTATAAAAATAACAGCAAGGGAAAAGCACGGAGGCGCAGTTGGGTTTTTTCCTTGCCAGCCCCCTCCCTCCCCTCCCCTCTCATTTCCATCGCCGATCAAAATAGAAGCCTGGGAATGGCTTCGGCTCCCCCACCCCCACCCCTTCCGCTTTTCGGAGGGGGCAAAGTTAGGTCCGTATTGGAGGCTCGGGATGCCTGTGGAAGACCTCCGCATTTCAAATGCCCTGCTGTGTGTTTAAAGTCACTCTGTGCACTCCTGAAGGAACGGCCAGAAGCGTTTCGGGCTCCCGAGTCCTTGCTGTTAGTCCCTGCAGGCCGAGGGTCTCGGGGTGGTAGGGGTGGGGGAAGCTTTGTTTGTAAAGGCTGGGTCAGGTGAGGCTTCTGGACTGGGCACACGCACCAGAGGCCAATGACATGGGTGGAGTCCTTCGTGTCCTCGCAGTTTGGCTGTCTGCGTGCAGATGTTTCATTGCCCAACTGGGAGGTACCAGCGGGGTGAGTCCCTGGTGCTTGGAGACGTTGGGTGCTCTTCGGGGGGGGGGGGCAGAGTCACTCAGAGGGAGCTGTGCCCTTCGTGAAATGTGTGTGCACTGAGAGGCGGGTAGGATGCCCTCTTGCTGTGCTCGAAGGGGCACAGAGGGAGCATTTTGGCCGCTTCGAAAAATGCCTGTGTGCATGCGTGCTCATCCGCAAGCCCTTCCCGCTGACTCCTGGCCCTGCTTTATGAACTCTCCTCCCACCTTCCCTTATTCCCTAGGCGGCTACTTTGAGTATGAAACTGAAGCTGCAACCAGACCTGGAATTTGAGCAGGTAAATCCCGTGTAAAATGCAGAAGTCCTCGCATCGTCTTCCTGCTTCTCCCTGAAGTACTAGCTGTCCACCTGCAGGGACAGAGAGCATTCGGGGTCCTTTGGCCCCATCTGGTCGCTCTTTTGGGGTTTCTTCCTGCAACCTTTGAGACCAAGGAGAGCGCGGAGTGCCAATGCGGCTTCCCCCTTCTGTGCCCTAGATGTGCGTCCCGTTGTTGCTTCAGGACAAAACGGAACTCGTGGAAGCTTACGTGGAAGGCTACCCTGAGCTGCAGCAGAGCCTCCTGCGGCTCCTGGACTCGTGGTCCGTCCCAGGCTTCCAGGTCAAAGACCTGGCAAGGTGAGGGGGCTGCTGGGAGGCCGCCCGGGGAGGAGGACTCTTTTCCTGGGGGAGCAGCATTCCCTCTCCCTCAGTCAGCTGAGCCAAAGGGAAATAGCAGCTGACTTTCCCGAAATTCCCTCTGCAGGATGAGTAAACTTCCTTTCTCCCTCCTTGTGGCTTTTGTTCTTAACTTTACGGTGGCTTATAATGAACGTGAGGAAGGGGAGCCTCCCTCGAGCCCCAGAGCCCCACCTGCTGAACCCCGAAAAGGTCCCCACACAAACGGCCTTCAGGCCTTGACTGCCGTGGGAATTCAGTTTCCAAACTCTCCCCGAATGCGTCTTCTGTGCTGCTGATGAATCAGAGCACACTGGGGGGGAGGGGCTGTATGCATGGGGGGGGGGGAGGGTGTCATCCTTGGTTAAGTGGCTGGGGGGGAATTCTGCCCAGGGTCAGGGGCAGCTGGCAGGGAAGCCCAGGGATCTTGCTGGCTGCACTGACACCCTCCGCCTGCTGGGGTCCCTTTCAGGCAGTATCAGGCCCTTCCTGGCAAGTGGCCAGAAAAGATCAACTACAGGACGATGCATAAAATGGCCTTCCGGGTGCTGGACAGATACAGCCTGGACCCAGGTGGGCACGCCCGGCATGTTCCCCGGGGGGGGGGGGAGGGAGAAGCCCTCATCCAGGGGGACGGTTGGGAGCTGGATGGCGTCCAGGGCTGCTGAGGATTGTTTCCAATTGAGAGAGGGGAGAGAGGGCTGGGACCCACACTCCGAAGGGACTAGAAGGGGCAGTTTCTGCCCAGGGAGAACGCTGTGAAGCAAAGGGCGATTTTTCCTTCACCCTCTGCCTGCTCCCCCCCCTCCTTCAAATGCCCTTCCCAGAATGTCTTTTTGTTTAAAAAACGGGGGCTAGAAATTGACTCCTTCAGCCTTTCAAAATGGCCAGGTCTGGTATTATCATCTGCCTTCCGCTTCCTCCTTCAGCATTTTTACCATATTCACCCTCCCTTCCGTGCCCCCACTTCAAGCTTAAGCAAGGCTGCTCTTAACGGCTGAGCTGACAGCCGGGGGTGGCTCGAATTCCCCCCCCCCCCTGCGATTGGCAATGCCTTGCCAGCCTAGTAAAGATTGCTGAGAACATAGGGCACGCCACCTGCCTGGGGATTGCAAGCGTCAACCTGGAGCAACCGTGAAGGGGGCTGTGGGCTGCCCTGCAAGGTGAGCTGCTGCCAGCAGCAGAGGGCAGGCGAGAGCTGCCCTAGAACGTGGGGCTCCCCTGCCTCTCCCTGGGGGAAGGACCTGCTCCCTCCTGCTGCTTTGTTGCTCGGAGTTCACACGCAAAGGCACACACATGTTTTAAGGCGGGGGGTTGAATAGCAGAGCCTTCCCAGTGTTGGTCCCTCTGCATCCGTTGGGATTGCAACCCCCTGCACCCTCGTCTTCAGGGCCTTAGAAGAGCTCAGCCCAGGGCAGGGGCAAAGGGCCTGGGCAGGAGGTAGAGTGAGCCCAGCTGGGTCCCTTTCTCTGCTTCCACTGACCCATCCTCTCTCTCCACCCTCCTAGCGCTTTGTCCTCATATTCTCAACCAGCGACACCTGGGCAGTTTGAAATACCTGCTCCACAAGAGGTTTGTTGAGGTAGGTGGTGGAAAGCAGTGGGGGGGGGGGCACGGAAAGGCCACGGAGGCTCCAGTCCAGCCTCTTCACAGCCTTCTTTTGCAAAATCTCTTACAGAAATCCATGACGCAGGAAAACTGGGCAGATCACATCCAGGTCAGTGTGGTTTTGCTCCCAGCCAGGGAGGCCTCTCTGGCCGCTGCTCGTGAGACCATAACGTGGCTGGCTTGGTTTGGGCTCAGCCTGGGTGCCAAGCAGTTGTTATGATTTACAGATAGAGCTGCGTTTTATGTGGGGGGAGCTTTGAAACCAACCGTGGCTCCTTGCAAGGGGTGACTCTGTCTCGGGTCCCCCCCGGGGTGAAACGGAGGAAACCCCTGCGTTCTGATCCTCAGAGCCCTCCGTCACACACTGACTTTTACGTCAGAAGTCCCTCGGAGGCTTCCGGGGTGCAATCAGTGTAGATCGTGCTTTTCCCTGCATCGGAGAAGCTCTCCGTTCCAGCAGGTTCTGCCAACCTTCCCAACCGTTCCTCCACCCTTGTCGGTAGCGTCTCCTCCGTCCCTCTCTGGGCACACAGTGATCCCACCGGTCCTGGCTTTCCTTTGGGGGGTTGGGGCCCTCTGCGTTCGACTCTTTGCTTCGATGAGGAATCGTCCCAGGGTTGGGTGATTCCAAGGCAGCTGTGTGGGCGAAAACCTAGGAAGGTTACCTTGGAGAGCCTCAACCGTACCGAAAGGGAAGGACCAGGAGGAGGAGGAGGAGGAGGATGCTCTCTTTTGAAGGTGGCAGTGATGGGCCGAGGGAAATCCTAGTTGCATTGCCTGCCCTACCAAGCATCCCATTTCCACAACGGGACCCCCGGGGGATTTCCAGAAGGGCATCGAGAGAGGTTAGAAAGAGGAGGAAGATTCCTCTGGCGAGCCTTCCGTTGGTTCAGGGCCTTGCAAACTTCCGGTGTGCCGCTTTGGCCTGCAGCAAGGTAGATGCCTCAGCGAGGTCTCAGGAGCTGTCACCCTCCACCCCGCCACAAAAGGGGGTGTAGAGAATGCCAACGCCCGACCTTCGGCTTATTTGTAGCTCCAGGGGGACGGAGGTGGACTTGGGAGGCACCTGCTCCCCCCCCCCCAAAGCCCCAGCCCCAAAAGCACCTGCAGCCAGCATGGAAGCAGCTCAGCAGCAGCAGAGAGGGGGCTGCGCTGGGTCTTCCTCCTTGCTTCTGTTAATGGGGGAACTGCCCACTAAGCCCCTTCCTCAGCTGAAATGGGCCAGAACGAGCAGGCTATCCAGAGCCCCCGCTGCCAACCCCAACTGGGCACGTGGGGCTGAGAGTGTTTATGGGCTGTGAATCCGAGTTGCCCGGGCAACTTCCCGTTGCTGCCACCTCCATCTTCCTGCCAGGGCGGGCGGGCGCAGGCGCAGTCTCCTGCCGCTGGGTGCGATGGGAGGGCGGGAGAGCAGCCAGGCCTCATTCCTGAGATGCCTCCAGCCACCTGAGGGTCTGGCGCTCCTGCTGGAGTGGGGATAAATCCCTCAGTGGCTCCAGGGGAAGAGGGGCCGGGGTGGGGGGGGCTGCAGGCTCTGCCCCCAGAGAGGAAGAGGGGCTGGGGCAGAGCCAAAGAGAAGGAAGCCCTTTGCCAGGGCACAAGGGACACTATGCCACACACACACCCCTGCTGGAAAACAGCCCGTGGGGCCAGGGGACGAGCCCTGGGTGGAAGGGGGGCCTTTGGTTTCACCTCCCATTGATTCCTGTTCATTGGCCACCTTCTCCTCCTCTTCCTCCTGGATTTCCCCCCACCCACCCCCTGCCTCACTTTTGCCACTTTTGTTGGCGTGGAGCCAGCGCCCGATGCCCCCCTTGGCCTGCCCCGAGTGGGATAGGAGGGGACGCTGCCCCCCCCTCCCCAGCCAGCGCTTCTCCCCTGGGTTGCCCCAGCCCTGCTGCCTCAGCGGCTCTGCAGGGAAGAGGCCAGGTTCCCACACGTTACCTGCTGTCGCTGGAGAGAGGAATGCGGCCCAGCCAGTGTTTCGCCTCCGGTGCCGAACCCATAAAACAAAACCGGAACGGTGGGAACGGCCAAAGCAGGGCTCCAGTTTCAGGCTCTCCTGCTCCTCAGGAATCCCGCACAGGAAGGCAGGAGGGGAGGACGAGCAGAGGGAGAACCAGTGTCCCTGGCGGCTCTTCCCACGGAGGACGGGAGTGGGGGTCGGGCGGGGCGGGGCGGGGGGTTGTTAAGGAAAGTATTTTAAACAATACGTACTAAATAGTAAATACCAAAACAGTTTTCTGTAAAACCGGTGGAGAAAGACCTTTTCCCTTATGGCTGGGCTGGGGGTCCATAGCCCCCCCATTAGGAGTCACTCCAAAAGCCCCTACCTTGCTGCCCAGAGGGAGGGGGGTCTTCCCTTTGCCTTCCCTGATGGGGGGGGGGCAACTCTGGATCTCCCCCGAGATCTTTGACCCCCCTCAAATGCCCCGTGGGTTGCACCGCCATAGGCGAAGGGCGGGGCAGAGGACTGGGCTGCCTCCCGGCCCACCGGCATCCCCCTCTTCTCTGCTTCCCAGGGCATCGTCCAGGAGAACCGGTGGCTGCAGGAACAGCTGGTGCAACTCCTGGTCCGTTACGCTGGCCTGGGGGTGGCTGCCCAGTGGGCCCGGCACTACAGCCTCAGCGGGGACAGCTTGCCGCCTCGCCTGGCAGCCCAGATAGGAAAGCCGGCCATCCCGGAGAGGTAGAGAGAGAGAGCCAGTGTGTGTGTGTGTGTGTGTGTCCCCCCGTCCTTCCCTGTGGCCGGCAGAATCAGCCAGGGGCTTCCTTGGAAAGGGAGGAAGTCCTTGGGCCTCCAGTCTTTGGCTCCCAGTCCCTCCGAGAGGGGAGCAGGGCGGGTGGGTCGCTCTCAGCTTCCACCTGCCACAAGAGGGGAGCGAGGAAGTCCCCCGGCAGGCCCTTCTCCAGGAAAGGGGGGTGGGAGAGTAACACTGGGGGC